ACAATGATCCATTTGTAAGGGTTATTATCTCATTTCCATATGACATCAATGAATCATGGACGTTTTTTGCATACAAACTTTGTGCTCATTGTTTTTCTTTTTTACATTTTCATTTCATTCAAAGATAGTTATACTCTTACACACACTCACACTCACAATACAGGTCTACATCCACTCAGGATTCCATGGGTAACGGTTCTGCTATGGCCTTTTGTGACTCTGAAAATCTAATCTACCAAGCCGAAGACGAAGGTGAGGAAGATTGTGAAGTGCCAGGGGAACTCGCCAGGTTACTACAACAAGAAGAGAGGACCATTCAGCCCCACGAAGAACCAATTGACACAATTAACCTAGGTACTGAAGAAGGCAAAAGAGAAGTCAAGGAGGGTGCCAATCTGGAACCTGGTGTCAAAGTGCGTCTGATTCAATTGCTACACGATTATGTTGAGGTCTTTGCCTGGTCGTATGAAGACATGCCAGGACTTGATGCAGATATCATAGTACATCGTCTACCTACAAAAGAGGACTGCCCACCGGTAAAGCAAAAGGTCCGTCGCATGCGACCAGACATGTCAGAGAAGATCAAAGCAGAAGACATGAAACAATTCAACGCCGGATTCTTGGACGTCACCTCCTATCCACAATGGGTTTCCAATGTTGTTCCCGCGCCTAAAAAGGACGGCACGGTACGAATGTGCGTGGACTACAGAGATTTGAATCGGGCGAGCTCTAAGGATGATTTCCAACTTCCCCATATTGATATTCTAGTTGACAATACGGCACAACACAAAGTGTTTTCCTTCATGGACGGTTTCTCAGGCTACAACCAAATCAAAATGGCGCTTGAGGACATGGAGAAAACAACCTTTGTCACACAGTGGGGCACATTCTACTACAAGGTTATGCCATTCGGGCTGAAGAATGCTGGGGCAACCTATCAACGTGCCATGGTAGCTCTATTTCACGACATAATACATCACGAAATAGAGGTCTATGTGGACGACATGATAACTAGATCTCAAACAGAAGAAGAGCATCTTGATCATTTACAGAAACTATTTGAGAGGCTAAAGAAGTACAAGTTGAGGTTGAACCCAAATAAATGCACATTTGGGGTGAGGTCCGTTAAACTCCTAGGCTTTGTTGTCAACAATAAAGGTATTGAAGTGGATCCTGTCAAGGTGAAAGCAATACAAGAGATGCCTGCTCCTCGTACTGAGAAGGAAGTCAGAGGATTCTTGGGACGGTTAAACTACATTGCCAGATTCATTTCTCACCTAACAGCTAGTTGTGAACCAATCTTCAAATTACTAAAGAAAGATCAAGTAGTCAAGTGGAATGACGAGTGCCAAACTGCTTTCGACAAGATCAAAGATTACCTGCAAGAGCCTCCTGTTTTGATGCCACCAGTCGAGGGAAGACCATTGATCATGTATCTAACTGTTTTGGAAAATTCAATGGGGTGTGTGCTGGGGCAGCATGACGAGTCTGGTCGGCAAGGATCCCTCTTAGGGATCTAACATTTTGATTATCACTAAGGGACTCAACTATTTAAATATCGTTTGAAAGACTCGACTATCTAAGTCTCACTTGATGGACTCTACTATCTAAGTCTCTCATAAAGGACTTAACTATCTAAGTCTCGCACGAGGGACTTAACTATCTAAGTCTCGCGTGAGAAACTCCGACCTCGGGCTTGAGATATTATGGACTACGATAAATTTAATTGGGCCCTAGAGAGGACATCTCATAACTCATATGACCCACAACCTCATTAAGGGTCATAAGACGAGTTGGTGGGTCAACGCTCTCACTTGAAGCTTGCTTCACCCAACCTGAACCCAAATTAGGCTGCCATCAACTTCCTATATGATGAAAGGAGACTAGCTCCACTCACTCTATGATTTGTTCAAAACCCTAGTAGATTGGGGAAACATTAAAGGGCCTAAAGAGAAATAGCTTTGGAAAGCTAATGGGAGAAAATTGACCCCTATAATAGAGGAAGATTCGATCTCCCCTAATTCTACATTGTCGTAGGAGAAACAATTTTTTTCTTCACACTATTGAGTCCATAAAATTTCTCACACACACACATATATATATATATATATATATATATATATATATATATATATATATATATATATATATATATATATATATATATATATATATATATATATATATATATATATATATATATATATATATATATATATATATATATATATATATATATATATATATATATATATATATATATATATATATATATATATATATATATATATATATATATATATATATATATATATATATACCTAGGGTTTAGAATAGATATTCACTAATTTCAACAAATCTATTATACACCACCTCTTGTGAACATATGCACTAGGAGACTCCCACTCATTATAATATTACACAAGTACAAGTATCAATAATATATGAGATAATAGTGATTACTTGTTAAAATCCATCTCGCTCCAAATATGAATATATAATGCTATGAACATATAATGTTGTCTAGTTTAATGTATCCTTAAATTTAGTTATAAACTAAAATGTAATAAAAGCGAAAATTAAAATTAAACTAACATCATTATAACTGAAATAATAGAAGAGAATAATACTTACATATGCATTAATATTTTCGAGTGTTCCTCGGATATATTTTTTAAGAAGTCAAAAAGAATGCTTAATAAGATAAGAATTAGAAAATATACTTAAAAAGAAAAATGAATTATTTAAGAATTTCTTATCAAATGTTTAAATATAGAATTTATTATAAATAAAAAAATGTAAGATAGCAATAGCTGGGTAATGGTTGCGGCAAGTAAAAAGAGTTTGTAGGGTTTGGGTTTGGGAAGAGGGGCCCTAAACACATAGGTCTCCAAACTACTCAGACACCAAGAAAAGACGGATAATATGTAAGAGGGTAAATGGGATAATATGTAAGATGGTAAATGATTATGTCTGTCTCGTTTAAGTTCGTTCTTGTAAAAATCTTTAAAAAAATAGAGCGGGGTGAGGCGGATATAATTGAGGATGAAGGTCATAGGTCCGTCCCATTACGGAGAAAGTTTACACCTCTTAAATTTAAAAATGCAAAATTTTATATTAAGATTCATGCTCGCAAAAATCTGCAAAGAAAACGGGACAGAACAATCCTATTAAAGAATGAGAATTTAACTTATTAACTCGTTGTGCACTAAAATACGAGCAAAACGGACATACCCATCAGACCAGGTCTATTTTACCACCATAATCATGTGAATGTTTTGATCACTAAGTCATTTATGTACTCCCTCCATTCTATAATAAGTGATCTATTTAAAATAAAATAATGTCTTAAAATAAATAGCTCATTTCAATTTTTAATATACTTTTTCAATTATATCTTCTAATTAATTTAACTTTCATCATTTTCAATAAAAATATTATTTTTATTTTATTTTTCCATATTTTATTGATATATGTTCATTCATTGTGTCACGAATGGAGTATTAGTAGTAATTCTGACTATTTTATTGCCATCAACGTTTTCACCTTTTTGTATTCCTATACATGTTTCTACAGTGTGACATGCATGAAATAGTACTAGTCTAGTTTCAAATTTTAGCTCTATAACTGACACATAGCTATAGGTTTTTACTGTATAAAAATTACATTAATGTAATCCGAGGTTAATGTCACGTAAACTTTGGATTAGTACGTAGATCCATATAATTATAGTGGTTAAAATTGACTACTCGGTCCGTTTAACACCGGTTTTCATTAATATGAATTTTTAGAACTGAGTAAAAAAAAACTCTATTATAATATAAGTTTTAAAATTATTACTCTAGTCTGGTTCTAAGATTTCAGACTACTCAATCATAAACAAACTTTTTTCAATAAACAAATTAAAATAAAAAACTCATAATAATAACTATAAATAAAATCAAACATTATATTATTCTAAATATTATATTTTTAAATACTATATTATCTTTTATAAGTATTATAATGTATTGTTAAATATAATATATATTTAAATTATATAAAATAATACTCAAAATATTTAATATAAAAGAAATTAATAGAATACAAGAAAAAATATAGATTATATTAATGTATAATATATAAAAAAGAAAAATTAAATATAATAGAGACAATTTAATGAAATGAAAAAAAATCAATATAATATTTTAAAATAACATAATATATGAGTTAATATAACTTTTTTAAAATTTATAACAATATAGATTTAATGAATTATCCACGACTCATGTAGATTAGCTCTAATAAATAACGTATTTTTTAAAATTAGATTAAAAAACTTTTAAAAATATAGATTTTTATTGAAGACCCAATGCGGGTCAGTCAGACAGACCTATATGAATTAGGTTATTTTGACAACTCTACGGACCTTCACAATTTGTTGTAAGAAAATGGAATTGGTAGTGACTAACCCTACTTAGTGGTCCCAATTGTTGTAAATAAGCAATGTGTTTTTGTGAATAACTCATTAGAATCAAGAACATGATGTGACGAATCAAACCGCCAATAATTAATATTAATTTTAATATTAATAAAATTAAATATTCACATATTGAGTTGGTGTTCTGCATATATAGCAGTTTGTTCGGTTATTATGATGAAGATCAACTTGATCGGTGATCTATATTTAATTGCTCACGTAATTATTATAAAATAATTGAATGATTAATGATTAATTAAATGTTGAAGCGTTGACCAATTTGCATAATTAGGTAATAACCTGTTTAATTAGAGTGGGTTAATGTTTTCACAACACTATTAACAAAAGAAGAAAAAAATATATATAAATACAAACAGGCAGGTAGATAAAGAGAGAGGATAGATAGGTCTCTCTCTCGAGGCTTTTAATTGCAGAGATCTTTTTGCTTTTCTCAAAGCCAAAACAAACAAAACTTATCTTTCTCATATCTTCCTCTTATCAAGGATAGAAAAAGTATAGTACCTTTTCTTGAGTGAAGAAAATGGGTACTGGATGGAGAAGAGCCTTTTGTACACGAGACCCTGAATCTACTATATCAGATAACAAGAATCGAAGCCAGAGTCAAAGCCAAAGCCCGAGCCCAAGCTCAAGAAGCTGTGCTCGGTTGAGTTTTCTCTCTGGAGGTAGTAGTAGTAATAGTTCTACTCCACGGTTGAATCAATCTCAACCAGCTTCAAGTCCAAGCCTGCGTTGTCGTACAATAACTGAAGCAGCTTCTCAAACCCATGATAGCCCCAGATTTCAAAGCAAAAGTAATACTCCAACTCCAAGAGCAAACTCGGTGTCCAATCCAAGTTCTCCTCGCTCTCCTTTGAAGTTATCTCTCTTCAAAAACAGCTTCAAATTTAGGGTATATATATATACTTTTTCAATCCATATTCATTTTGAAATTTTTTTAAGAGATCCGGTTCCGAACAATAATAGATACTGATTCTTGATTTGATTTTTTTTTGAAACAGAGTAGCTGCGGAATCTGTTTGAATAGTGTGAAAACGGGACAAGGAATGGCGATTTACACTGCAGAATGTGCACATGCTTTTCATTTCCCGTGTATAGCAGCACATGTACGCAACCATGCTACTCTTATTTGCCCTGTCTGCAACGCCACATGGAAGGACGTTCCATTACTAGCGGCGCATAAAAATCTTGCTGCTCAACAATCTCACACAACTAATGATAACTCTAATACAAGTGATGATTCAAAACAAAAGGAAAATCCTTCTTCAGTTTTCGGAACCAAGAACTCGAATCAGTCTCAACCGCAGCAGCAACAACAACATCAACAACTAAAGCAATCTGAATCAGCGCGATCTTATGACGACGATGAGCCTCTTCTTTCTTCTAGCGCCGGTGGTGGAAGGATTATCACTATTCCTGAAGTTGATGAAAACGTGGAAGATGATGACGATGACCACGACAACAACGGCGAGTTTCAAGGTTTTTTCGTTAACACCAACAAATCCTACTCCGACGATATACAATCCGGTGACGGAGATTCAAGAACTGTTCAGGTGAAGTTAATGCCGGAGTGTGCAGTTGTATCAGTTTCCAGAACGCACGAAACATACGCTTTGGTTCTAAAGGTGAAAGCGCCACCGCCGCTCCGCGGCGGAACCAACACTCTCGATCCTTCACGGCGAGCACCGATAGATCTCGTAACGGTGCTAGATATTGGTGGAAGCATGACCAGTGCAAAGCTTCACATGCTAAAGCGCGCGATGCGTTTGGTTATTTCCTCTCTAGGACCAGCTGATAGGCTTTCCATAGTGGCATTTTCTTCTATTTCCAAAAGGCTTTTCCCATTGAGAAGAATGACGGCTCAAGGTCAGCGAATGGCTCGACGCATCGTTGACCGGCTTGTCACCGGTGAAGGAAACGGCTTAGCCGAGGCTTTGAGAAAAGCAACAAGAGTATTAGAAGATCGTAGAGAAAGAAACCCGGTTTGTAGCGTCATGCTTTTATCCGACGGTCAAGATGAAAAGGTTCATAACTCTAGTAACAAACAAAATCAACGCAAGACATTTAGCCATGCATCCTCGACCCGGTTTGCTCACATTGAAATCCCGGTTCACGCGTTTGGGTTCGGTAGTAAAACCGGTTACAGTCACGAACCGGGAGAGGATGCATTTGCTAAATGTGTTGGTGGACTTTTGAGTGTGGTAGTTCAGGATTTGAGAATTCAATTGGGCTTTCAGTCTGATTCGGCCCGGGCTGAAATTAGTGCTATGTATTCCTGCAGTGGTAGGCCCACGCTGCTGAGCTTAGGAGCCGTACGGCTCGGCGATTTATATGCTGAAGAAGAAAGAGAACTATTGGTTGAAATGAGAGTTCCAGCTTTGGGTATGGGGCCCCGGGCCCACCATGTGATGACAGTACGGTGTCTTTATAAGGACCCCGCAAGTCAAGAGATAGTATACGGTAGAGAACAGGGACTTACAGTGCAGCTTCATCAGAATCATTCCCAAACCGTTCGATCATCGCAAACTAAGATCGAAAGGCTGAGGAATCTGTTCATAACTACCCGAGCCATAGCTGAGTCAAGGAGGCTTCTAGATCATAACAGTAACTTCACAAGCGCTCATCATTTACTTTCTTCAGCCCGTGCGCTTTTGATTCAATCTGGCTCGGCTTCAGCTGAACAGTATGTTCGCGGCTTGGAAGCTGAGCTTGCAGAACTTCATTGGAGGAGACAACAAGAACAGGTTCATGTTGAGGCTCAGCAGCAACAAGTGATGCAAAGAAGAAGAGGAGTTGAGAGAGAGATGAATTGTAATATGGTGGATGAAAACGGTGAGCCGCTTACACCTACATCGGCTTGGAGAGCGGCTGAGATGCTGGCTAAGATGGCTATGGTTAAGAAGTCTTTGAATAAAGTTAGCGACTTACACGGCTTCGAAAATGCTAGGTTTTAATTTTAACTTTTTTTTGGTTTAATAAATTTTTATTTTTATTTTTTTTAATTTTTAATTTTTAATTTTTAATTTTTAATTTTAAAAATTATGTAAATTTGAGGGAAGAAAACAATTGGGGATGGGAATGGAAACAAAGTGGTAGCAAACGTCGCAGCCCTTTGTGCATAAGAAGATGGAGAGTGTATGGCCCAGTTTAAAATGGGAGAATTTGATTGGTTGGTTGATCATATCTTTTTGTCTTCTCTCTTTTATATAGTATATTGTTATCAATTTTAATCATTGTCTTTTCAAGATCATAGTCCATGAGATTAATGATATACACAAAACTTATGTTGACATGGGTATTTTTTGATTTTATGACCCTTTTTTTCTTCTTATGATTTGCCTTTTATGTCACTATCTTGAGGATTTTGGTTGTGGTTTTATTGTAGAGGATAATATCTGGGGCTAATAATTAAGGAGTGGAATAGGTATGGGGTAAACATAATCTTTTGGATGAAAAACATGATAGACTCAAATGATGAATGAATGATTGCATTCTTCATGGCAACTTGATGCTTTTTCTTCTATCTTTTATTGGAAATACCTTACCTTAACAACTTTAGAATCAAAATAGAAGGGACCCAAAAGTGTTTACTAAAATGCAATAATTTGAGACGTGCTTTTCAGTTATGTGGGTAAAAGAGATGGGAATGGGAAAACAGGGTGCACTTTTTTTTTGGGTGAGAAATAAGATTTCTAAAAGCATGGTATGGGGAGTGAATGTATTGCAAGAAATTGAATTTAGTATGATTTCTTAAGGTAAACCCAATCAACTCGGTGAGAATTGTTAAGTGCACCGCAAGTGTGTGTGTATTTTTTTACTCAATCGGTTTCACTTTATTTTAATATTAGTAACACTATAAACAGAACATGGTAATATCCAATGAAAATTTTACTTGCATATAAGAGAATTTTTTTAATTTTGAAATGTATAGATGCAAACATTTGATAGAGGAGTTAGTAGCGGTTCTTATGCCTTTAAAATCGGCTACACGTCTTTTAGATTTGATTCATTAAAAGAGTGATTAGACTGAATCATTCTCTTATGTTGGAAGTGTAATCAATCTAATGACTACTTTAGTTGTTCCTTAATGGGAATTTCCTTTCACCCGCTTAATATATGGTTTGACACATCTTTCCTCTAGATATATTATGGAGGAGATAGGTCAAACTCGATCATATATTTGTCATGTGACATCAATACTTATTATCCAAATATTTCTTATATTATTTATAGGTCTGAGAGTTTGAGACTCAGTCCTTTTAAGTTTTTATTGAAGATATTTCAATCCATGGTCTCTCAAAAATAAAATTTATACGTGTATAGTGAATTAAACTAAGATACTCAAATTTAAATATGAAACTAGATTTTGATGCAATAAAACATTGACATGTCATTTTCTGCAATAATTTAAAAAACAACACAGTTAAGTGTAGTCATATATATCGAATTCCATTCCAACCCTTATGTCTTAACTTAGATATAGTCACCTTTAGTCCTATTAAAAATGTTGGTGTTAGATAACTTAGATTTAGTCACGTTATCAAAATCTCATAACAATTATTTTTAAGGTTTTTCTTTCTAAATCTCATAACAATTATTTTTCATGCAGTCACTTATCATATATTTGTGTCATGATATATTGATGAGTTATTTTGTCATCTACCTCAAAGGAGTGATAGCTGCAAAGTTTCAAATAACCAGCACCTTTAGATAGGTATGAAAGGGGTTTAAGTCAAGGTTAGAAGTTGTTCATAAATACAAAAGGCCAACTACATGTAACATTGAAAGCACTTCTCAATCATAATCAGCAAGCTTATCTTCCTCTGTTTGACAACAAATTTCCAGCTACTTTGCGAAAATAAATAAGAGATTGAGGGGGGGGCAATTTATGCTAGTTTGCATCAAAATAGGATGTTAAGTAGAGAACAGAGTTGTGGAGCCCAAAAAGTTTCTCATTTGTCTAAATCCATCACTATCTATGCCTTTCTGTTATTACTAGGCCCTGGGTTGTTTTGGTTTTATTCTTGCTAGTGTAGTCATTACTAGGAACCTTACATAGCTAGCTAGCTACCACTAAAACAACAACATTGGAATAGACATGATTGAGGGGCATGCTTGTTATTATGTCATCTGACATGTCTATTATACCAAAATAATGAGGATTTTTTTCTCTCAATCTTATAAGGAAAAGAAATATCCTATACAATTTTAAAAATGTCTCAGGAAATATATTTTTGAAAATATATTTTTGGTGTTGTTTATTTCTTAATTTGGTAAATAACGCTGATCTCTTTAAAACAAGTTTACTGACGAGATCGATCAATGAATTTTGATATAGTGCTTCAGTTCGCGTGCGTAGTTAAAGAATTTTCAAAAAGGTTCATTCGACTGAGAGCAAAACGGCTTGATTAGAAGCAAAGTAAATAAGACACGTTCGACTGAGAGCCAAACGGCTTGATAAAAGACAAAGTAAATAAGACAAAAAACATTTTAAATTGTAAAATGTAATGACATAACATTAAAGAAAGGTTGAAAATAGGTTGGTTCAAACGTATATTGCCTTTGTCTGACTCATTTCGTTCGTTTGCTTAGTTAATCTGAGTGACTAGCGTGCAGGAATGTGAAGGTTTGACCCCTTACAAAGTGCACTAAGTGTTTTATTTATAATACAAAAAAATAACTATTTTCTAAGTGGGCTTTGTTACCTTGCATGCCACGTGTTCTCATAACTCTCCTCCATGATCCCACGTTCATCACTCCTGATATCAAGTTCTTCATAACTTCCCTCAATGATCCCACGTTCATCACTCTTGATATCAAATCCACGTTTTCCCTCTATAAGGCTTCGCCTTTGCAGTTTAGGCGCTTATGGGCCTTTTAACCCTTTTGGGCTTCTTACCTCTCTTGGACCCAATCCATTCGCCATGAAACCTACTCTGATCGACTGCACTTACGAAACCTTGGTCGAGTACCTGTGAGATCATCCATGGTCGACATGCTTATGTAGTCGACTCCTTATAATTTAATGCTCTTAAAAGCACCTTTTTTACTTTTGGTTTGGATTTTTCTCTATATGGAAATCCTAGCCAACAAATTGTCCCCCCAAAATATCATTTTCGACTAAAAGAACATAAATAAGCATTTTAATTCTTTTCTCTTAGTGTGAAGTATTGTCATTGTAATCATGATTTTGTGCTTCAAACGTTACATCAGCGATCACACAACCACTTCCCTACTTTCTAGTTTCAACTCCCTAGGATAAACATGACCTTCAACTTACCAACTTCCTCACCTCAGTTGCCATCTTTTTGACACGTTCCAGTCATGTAGCTACAATTTTTTCTCACTTTCTTTCCAAACGTTTGGTTTCTTTGGTGGTATAAATACCCCTTTCATTCCTTCATTTTTCTCTTTACGTTTTCTTTGCATCCTTAATCTCCTAGCTTCCAAACTCAGCAAAAAGAAACTCCACCTTCGTTTTCATTCAAAGCTTCCATTCATCTTCCATGGCGTCTCCAAGCCAAGTTGTTGAACACGTTAACACTCCTCACGCAGTTGAGCTAGTTTCCACCATGCCTGATTTCCTTGTTGTTGATAAACAAACCTTTGTGTCGGAGTCAAACCCAGCACACAATATTTCTACTTTCCGTTCTAACATGTTGCTTCCATTTATCTGCAACAAAATGGCATATGCTCTCACGGGACCTACCCCTGATGAGATTAGGGCACCAAAAGATCTAAAAAATACTTCCTTGTTCATAGAAGCACAAGGCCCCATATCGCCCGGAAGTGTCCTTTAGATTTCTCCTACATCTATATAACCTCAAAAGTTTTTCGCTCCGCTACTGCTATCAACCGTAGGCCCCCTATTATCCTTGAGAAAATGCACGAACTCCAAATTGAGCAAATTTGTAATTTTGGGCTATTGGGCCTAAGTTTTCAGATCCAAACGTGTTCATAACACATTAGAGAACCTCTAAACACATTCATATATTTTTTTGTAATTTTTATTTCTTTTATTATGATTTTATTCAATTTAAATATAAATAAATCAAATAAAATATTCATTAAATCATGAGAGGTGCATGGACCTATTTTTGATCAAATCATGAGTCAAAAATCATATATTTGAGCTGGCAAAACCGTGTGAAGTTCTTTGAATCAAATCTTGGCCAAAATAACAAGTTTCATATGATTTGCAAGTCAAATATTTTCACCATGAATTATCAAGATTTGATACAATTTTGTTAACCTAAATCCATGTCCTTTAAATACACAAGACATTCATGCACTAAGGACACGAAAAAAAGGCTGCCTATAAGAACTCTCAAAAATCTCAAAATTTCTCAAACTAGGAAAAACATAAAACCCTATTTGCATACTTCTTTAATCGCAACCAAGCATCCAAACGCATTCCTGAAGTTCCCAGGATCACTACCAAGCCAAGAAGCAAGCTTGTCCACGTCTAAAATCATTCATTCAAGCCCACCGATTTGGTAAAATTTCTCAATTACAAAATCTTAATTCTCACGTTGTAAATCGTTTATAAGCATTCATACATGTCCATACTGATGTTTGGAATGTTTCAGAATCATTACTTTTGAGATTTGATGCAGGGACAAGAAAACACCATTGTTAGGGCGTGAAGCTCCGACTTCATCGTATCTCCTTTTACAGGCATTTTCAGACTAAATGAAAGGCACCACTGAGTTCGTAGACCCCGGTTTAAGGGGGGGGGGGGGGGGTAGGCTTAATCTCTTGTTTCAAATCGTGCTATCTTGCACTATGATATTTTTGGACAATCGGAGAAGAAGGTGGTCAACCACGGTGTGTGGTGGTTTGACCTTCCCCGGGTTGCGTGTCATCCCTCTATTCTTCCATTCAAATATGATGATCCCACTAACACGCGCACGTTTAAAATGTGTTTGACTTCTAATTTTTTGGATTTGGTTTA